GCTGGTCGGATGTGATTTTCAAATAATTAAAATTGTGTATCAGGGCAACAGAAGCGACAAGTGGTATTTGCCATGACAATTTGAATTTGTCGCCAATCGTATATCAGGAGCGGTCTGTCTTTACTATACCTCTTCGCATTTCTGCGATCCAGATAGTAAATCATTATTAGTGAAATTTGATGAACGAAACTTGTGGGATGTTTGATTTTCGCCGTTAAAAATTCTGTATCAGGATAACAGAAGCGGAAAGAGGTATTTAATCTTCGAATTTCCCGGCAACCTTGCATAAGGAGCAGTCTACATTTTCCACACATTTTTGAGATCCTGATAACGAGACTTGTTCTTTAATAGGGTAACAGAAGCGGCGAGAAGATCTGCTTTTGTTTGTTAAATGAACTGCAAATCTTGTAGTCGATGACGTCGTGCGGATTTGGCACACAACTATACCTCCTCGCGTTCCTGTGATCCTCATAGCCAATACCAACTGCTTTAAATCGACGAAATAAGCTGGCAAGTTCACAATTAAAAATGCTGTATCAGGATAACAGAAGCGGCGAGATACTTTTTCCTGATTACAGTAGAACTCCGAGTATCCGAAATAATGTGGACCCAAGTGCTTTCGGATAAAACGGAAATAAATATTTAGATGCATAATGCTTTTATTGAAAACAGTAAATGCGTGTGTTAAGCGAGTATACCTAAAGTTACATAAAATATAAACATGTGGATTCAAACATACATATTTACGAGTATTTAGTAACAAAGGAAGTAATTTTTAACTGTACACGTTTTGCATTGTTCCTATTTTTTGGTAGCAATATCCCTCCAACGTTTGATAAGTAGCACATCAGCTGCTGTCGCATTTTTTTGGTTTTCGACGTAAACTCCTTGATCCATTGGCTGAATCAGTGACAATTAGGAGGCAAAAACAACCAGGCATTTTTTGATTTTTATATCACACTGAAAGAGCGTTGGAACGGACGTGTTTAAATGCTCTTGGTTTAGCTGATTTTCCGATTAGCAACAAAGGAAGTTTGTGTGTACCGGACCCTACTGAGCGAGGGCCGTGGCAAATGCTTGTTCCGGAAGTTGTTGTATCCAGTATACAACTTCTTCCCGTCCAAGTGATTGTGCACGCGTTAAGGAATACCTCAGTACCGATTGCCGGGTGGCGGTACAAGTCTGCCAACGGGCCACTTTAGGTCTATTTAACATCACTAACACGTAAAAAGAAGGTGGTAGACAAGGACCAGTCGACCGAGGCAGTACCACCCGCTAGCTTTTCCCAGGGTGTCTTATAAATGTCCGCATGTTTCCACACCTAAGCTATGCAGTCGGTTATCTACCAAAACAAAGAAATTAATGATGATGGATCCCTCGAGCACTAAAAACTCCGGACGTAAACTCACCCCACTCTCGGAATGTCCGGGTGGAGGGTGGGCTCGAGGGAACAACATCGAAGATAAAATTTGTTTTTCGAACATCTGCGGGATCAACAGCAACATTGATGCTGTTCATCACTACCTGCGATCCAATCGGTCCGCCGTGCTTTTCTTGGCGGAGACAAAAATCTCAGAGACTGCACCGATTAACCATCTCAACTTCCTAAACTACGAGGTGCACTCCAATCTGAGAAAGAACGGGGGAGTTGTGGCTTTTGTCCGCAGCAGTCTTTCCTGCTCCAGGGATCTTTCTTTGGAATCAGACCGGAAGGACATTCTGTGGCTTCGCCTCAACTCCAAAACATCACCCAAATTTATTTGCTGCCTTTATCGCTCTCCCTCGAACCATAACTGGGATGACCTACTCGAATACCTCGCCGTCCAGATCGACTTCCTGAACATCAATCACCCCGCTTCAGAGGTAGTTCTTCTCGGTGATTTCAATGCCCATAACGAGCTTTGGTTGGGCTCAAATAAGACCGATGCAGCAGGTCGTGCAGTCGAAGCGTTCGCTCTTACTCAAGGGCTGACCCAGCTGGTGACGAGCCCTACTTTTTTCCCCCGCGTCTCGTCACACGCCAGTAGCCTGCTGGATCTCTTTCTGACCACGCATCCTGCCCCTTACAGCACTGCTGTCCTGTCCCCCCTGGGTAACTCAGATCACGGTGTTGTGGAGGTTAGGTTTCGGTCAGAAGCCGCTGTGGCAGCAGAAACTCGCACAGGCCGCAAAACTTGGCATTACGGACATGCCGACTGGGAGTGGCTCAGAGACTTCTTCTCTAGCTTTCCTTGGAGAGATGTCTGTTTCACTGACGCGGATGCGTCGACTGTCTGTTCTCCAATAACCGAAATTATCCACGTCGGAATACATCCCTCACACAGTGAAAGTTCCTAAACCAGGGTCCAACGGCTGGTTCAACAAATCGTGTGACACTGCTCGCCAGCAGAAGATCAAGGCCCACAGAACCTACTTGCAAAACCCCACTGTAGAGAACAGACAAGCCGACGTCGAGTCCAGAAACAAATATAACAAAGCGGTTCGCAATGCCAAAAACCAGCATGATATAAAAGTTAGGCACAGGGTAATGTCGCAGCGCAATGGCAGTCGGTCTTTCTGGACGCTGGCCAAGCACATTGAAAAGAACTTCTCACACAGTAGCCTTCCACCACTTACGTGTCAGGATGGAACTATTGTATTCGACTAAAAGGCCAATGCGGAAGTGCTAGCCAAGATCTTTGCTGCCAACTCCACCATGGACGTCCCCACCAACGCCCAAGTGCCGTCAATTCAAAGGGTTCCCCACACTATGCGGGAGGTAACATTCAGGCATAAGACCGTAAGACGAGTGCTCTTGTCGCTCGACATCAACAAAGCTTCTGGTCCGGACTTGATTCCTGCCATTGTACTGAAGAGATGTGCAGCGGAGCTTGCTCCAGCTCTTTCGCGTCTCTTCCAGATATCTTATGAATCCGGCACCTTCCCAGAAAACTGGAAATTTGCTCATGTACAGCCCGTCCCAAAAAAAGGATCTAAGACCGACCCTTACAACTACAGGCCTATAGCTCTGCTTTCTGTTATAAGTAAAGTGATGGAGAGGTGCATAAATCGCGAGCTTCTGGACTATCTCGAACGTCACAGCTTGATTAGCGACAGGCAGTACGGTTTTCGGCACCAACGATCCACAGGGGACCTCCTAGCTTACGTCACGCAACTGTGGAGTAAACTCATCCAGTCTCATGGTGAGGCTCATGTCGTTGCTCTTGACATCACGAAAGCGTTCAATCAGCTGTGGCACGCTGCCCTCTTAAGCAAACTTCCATCCTACGGCCTCCCAGAAAAGCTTTGCAGATGGGTGGCTGACTTTATCTCTGGCCGCAAGATATCCGTCGTAATTGACGGATTCTCTTCTTCATCCCACAACGTCAACGCGGGTGTTCCCCAGGGATCGGTCTTGGCTCCAACACTGTTTCTCTTACATATCAACGACCTCCTTTCCTGCACGATCAACCCAATCCACAGCTTCGCTGATGACAGCACTCTACATGCAGGAATTCAGAGTGACAAGCCGATCTCTGCCGCTGAGCTGGAAAAAAGAAGACTAGCGACGACTTCTTCTCTGACAAGAGACCTGGAGGCTATCACTGCTTGGGGACGCAACAATCTTGTACAGTTCAATGCTTCCAAAACACAGTACTGTACTTTGACGAACAAAAAGCGTCCTAGCGCTCATACAGTTTCGATGGACGGTCGAGTTCTACCAAAGAGCCATTCATTTCGGCTGGTCGGAGTCCAGATCACCGAGGACCTGATCTGGCACGAACACATCTCTTCAATAGCTGCAGCTGCTGGGAAAAAGCTAGGCTATTTGTTTAGGGCTAAGAAGTACTTTTCTCCGCATGACCTTCTCACTCTATACAAGGCCCAGATAAGGCCTAGCCTCGAGTATTGCTCACACATTTGGGGTGCTGCCGCCCCGACTACATTGTCCATACTCGGTGCTGTCCAGAGGAGGGCGGTCCGACTGATCGATGACTCTTCTCTAACAGACAGTCTCGGGACTCTTTCGCACCGGCGGGTCGTCGGCGATCTAGCTCTTTTCTATCGCTATACCAACGGGCTTTGCTCCTCAGAGCTCTCTTCCATGATGCCGCCGCGCGATGTGCCTGCCAGACAGACCCGCCTGACTTCGGCGTCCCATCCTAACCGTGTCAAGCTACGTACATCCAGAACTGGCCGATACGACCGCTCCTTTGTCCCGAGGGTGTCTAGATTGTGGAACAATCTATTGGAGGAAGCTTTTCCCAGTTCTACTAACCTTAGGCAGTTCAAAAATCGTATTAACAAAATGTCTTTGGGATCATCATAGCAGCCGCGGTGTTCCGGCATTTAGGCTTCTGCCTGCGCGGCTGTTTCGATATATATATATAAAAAAAAGCATTGCTACAAGCAAGGATATTCACACGTTCTTTACTGCGTTTGTAACCAGGAGCTCTAGATTCTTGTTTTGGAGCTAAACTTTTCGCCGGTAACATTTTATAGTTTAGGCACGTTTCGTCGCAGTTATAAATTTGTTCTGGATTTAAACCATACTGCTTCATTAATTTTTTCAGATGTTCTCCAAATTTTAATGCAGCGGACTTATCGGAAGTTAACTTTTCTCCGCAAAGTTAATTCTCTTAAACCGTGTCGTTTTTTCCATCACTTAAGTTGACTGCCTTTGCTTTAGAATGGGTCCGGAAATTGGAATTCCACGTTCTCGATTCTGTGTAGACCACAGATATAAAGCATCATCCACTTTTTGATATTCCCCTTTTTCATATAGTTTTCCGTGACGGCAGCGATGATGTCGGAACACTAGACCACTTTTCAGTTTTCTCGCGTTATTTTTTCCATTCTGGAATGCTCAAGTACTGCCACAAGTTTCTGTTCTATAGTAATAATATCAGAAGCCTTTTCTGTACCTCCTCGCGTTTCTGCGACCCTGGTAGCAAATGTTTACTGCTGCAAATTGATTTTCAACCTCTAAATCTTTTGTATCAGGATAACGGAACCCGCGAGAGGTATTTTTTTTAGAACTCGTGCTTTCTGCCAATTTTGCATATAACGCAGATTCATTCACACGATTCTCAAACGAATTCAAAGATGGGGAATCGAAACAGGGAATACAATAAAACATTTATTTAAACAGGAAAATATTGCCTTCTGCAAAAAACAACTACATTGTACACTTATGTACAACATTCTGGAAACATACAACTGCAATTATCTATGTAACATTGTAAAAACTGTGCAGCGTGAACGGATTATCAAATCTAGGAACATAACATGCGAATAAACAATCAGTCATAAACGATCGTAATTCAACCAACAAAATCCCAATCGGAATGGTACATAAACAAAGTGACTACAAAATAAATAGTTTACTAAAACATTTTATTACAAAATATATTTCACACAAGAAAAACCAAGACGCCAGTCTTCGTATTGCAAAAAGCTACTTATATGCGTCCTGTGTTTGAGCCAATTCCATGTAATGATACTGAATCGAAACATGCTAGAAAAACAGTCAAAAGTATAATATTTCTGCACCCCTCCTGTTACTTGAAGTCTCCATTATCATTTCAACCCTGTGAAGAGACAGAACAAAAACTACCACCCCGTCATCTATTAAAAGTCGATAAAAATCACTATATCTTTTCTAAGATCAAGAGTGATCATTAGATTCGAGTGTACTACGTCACATGGAATGACACTTTTTGGAATTTAGGAATGCCCAGTTCACAATACCTCACAATAATTTCAGTACATAACATCTAATAACATACAAGGAGCTTATGAAACCAGTTTCAGCAGATTTGGACCGATTTCTAGTCTGTTCGCGATCTTCAGTTGGGACGAAGCAGCATCTCTTAGAGAAAAGAGATGGACCATTTCTATTTCTGACCTAGCCAGAGCTATAGCTTTGTTGAAGAGGTCGATAGCCACCACCAGGTTGCCCCTGAAACAAATTGAGTCAAGTAGATTGACTCCTTTCTATCTTTGACAATCATTCATTTTCAAAATACGAATGATTGTATAAGCTTTGGTAGATCCATTATTGTCATTCATGTGATATCACCTCTAGCGTGTGAGTAGTGTTACCAACACTTCAGTTGCAAAAGTTTCGAGCGAGGTTGCCAAGAGTTCCGATTTATCATGCACAAATGTCACACGATTTTTTTTCCACCCATTACCCCCTCCTCACGGGCCTAGACTGCTAGTTGAAAATCTAAAGTATTTCATGAACAAAAAATGAAACGGTCAAACTGATTTACAATTCGCCTTTTGCCGCTCGCATAATTAGACGAACAGGAAAATAGATGTCGAGTTGTGATTGATGATCTTTATTTTTTACTATTTAATAAAGTTTACACGATTTTATTGATATCAACTCACCCAAGTGACCAAAGTATCCATTTCAGTCATTTAACATGACACAAAGTTAGACAGGGAGACTTCTCAGGTGTTGAACTGTTTTAGTTTCAAATCGAAACTGTTCAACTTCCAACAAATATTAGAAAATGATTAAGTTTTAAAAAAACATCCGAAATAAAACCCTTCTTTCCAAAAAGTTCCGAAAAGTTGCTTTAAAATTTAGGTTCCGAAGAAGTTCCTCCACGTAAAGTTCCGCAAATCGTAACTTATTCCTCATATTGGCGACATTGCTTAGGAGACCCTCTTTTTATACTGTAACGCCGTCGTAAAAAAATTTGGCAACCAGAGTTACACCATCGTGTATCGAAGCTTGCAGCGTGCTGGAGAAGCTTCGAGAGTGATCGCGTTCACGTGTGTGAGTGATCGAGAGGGTTCGGTTGCCATCGGGAGCGCGAGAAATATTGCGCGAATTTCTGGAGATCTGGATTGATCGACTTCAAAATATATGGGCGTGACGGTGAAATGAGAGCAGTCGAGTCCACGGACAACAATCAAATTCAAGCGAATAACCAAATGAAAATGGTATTTACCATTTTGGATTGGTATTTACCGATTCGTTCAAGCCAGTGTGGTTATCAGTTTGGTTAAAAGATCCGTGACGTCATGATTCAGCTGTTATATGTCATAGTTATCACCGCAAAATTGTGGTATTTACCCAACTCACGAGTAGTTTTATATTTCTGGTTATTATTTGAAATGTGACAAGTTAGAATTTTCCCGGGTATTGGATATTTTTGTTGTAAGTTGGGTTCATTTTTGGGAAACTTCAGTTGTAGCATAAAGTAGAGCACCTTATTAGTTATACTCATTACTGTTGTTGGGGACACTTTAAATCTAGTTCCTATGCTTAACAAAGTATCGTGTGTAGCTATATAAACTCACTGGATAATGACCACCTGTCTACGGTTTTGCTAATATCTTTTTTCATCGATTTTTCCCATCATTTCTGCTAAATAAATAAATGTTTTCTTTGACCTGCGGAAAAGTTTAGAGAATTTAAAGTTATCATAGCTACAAAGCCATGGTTCCATCATTAAAAAATATTTTCTGAAAAAGAAAACATATTTCTCCCATTAGTATTATGAAAGGTTTCTTTTTAAAACTTTCCATACACTGTTGTAGACGAAAAAGCACCGATTATTAAGTGATAATAAAAATAATCAGAAATTATATACGCGCTTTTCTAAAATAAACAACTTGCAACAAAACCGCGGTTAAAACCAACGCGTTCAAGCGATTTGAGAAACCGACGTCATCAACCCGTGTGTCATCTTAAACCATATTATAACCGCGGTACATAACACAGAAATTTTGGTTATTCGCTTGGATTTGATTATCGATGAATGAGTCAACGCTATAGTCCAGTCGACATAGTAATACATTTGTAGATAAACTAGTTACAAGTGTTATAAATTAGAGTTGAAGTAATAAATTAGTATTTGGACAGTAAAACAGGTGTTTCCGTTACAATACACTAACGAATATTTTCTCCCTATTTCTTATATCGAACATTTCGATACCCCAACTCTGATAAGTAAATGTATTGTAACGCCCTCGTAACGACGAGACGCTCTTGCAATATCGTCGCTTAGGCAACTAGAGTTACGCTACCATCCATGAAGAGCGGTGAGGATTAAGGCATCATCGAGAATGGTCGGCCGACATCGGAAGCGTCCGAGAAGCATCGATCGACATCTATAGAAAACTTCGATACTGCCCGGGATTACTCTAGAATTCGCCAATTTCAAATTAATACCCAAGAGCCTCCACCAGAGGGCCAGTAGAACGCGATAGTCCAGGCGACATAGTTATACATTTTTCATAAATTAGTTGCAAGTGTTGTTATAAATTAGTGTAACAGTAATAAATAAGACTTTAAATAGGAAAAACGGTGTTTTCGTTACAGTAGTATATTTTACTCTGTGACACAAGTTTCCGTTCATTTTGCTAGTGTACACCAATCACAAAGTATGATCCAACCTCAAAATGTTAATTGACGAGATGTCAAAGTCGTCCTGAGGAATGGCAGCACGTGAGAACGTCGTGAGCTGGTGACGCGACAATAGTATGTGTCTAAGGCCCGTATCGTCAGTCGTCCCTACAATTGTAGGGCGCCTTTATGGCCTCCTTGATTGTCATAGTTTTCTACTTCTCCGTGTCAGAACTCTATTTTGAGGTTATGTCACAAACGTCTATTTGCATCAAGTTGTGCTTGCTTTTGAGTTATATCATGTTTTATCAGCCTGAAATTTCCTACAATTTAAAAAGAAAACATATCTTCACAATAGGAGAGCGCTGACGCTGACACGGGACAAGTGTAATCTAGAAATGTTTGAAGGAGAGAAAGCAGTATGACAATCAAGGAGGCCATAAACGCGCCCTACAATTGTAGGGACGACTAACGATACGGGACTAAATACATACACTTCTATGAGTATACAGTGAACTCACGTGATGTGACAATAATGTGTTTCCACCTTAATTCTACAAAAGCTGATTGTCTATAAACTGAACAAAAGGACGATATTCAGTCGGATCGACCAATCAACCAATAATCAATGAATTCGAGTTTAAAACTTTGATAAAATCTTACCTTTGCACTTCAACCGTACCCAACGTTTCGTAAGCAAACTCGGACTTCTCATCAATTCTGATTGCTTCTTTCATTAATTCAACAGCTTTTTCGATTTCTCCTTTCCACTGTAGTAGCAACAAACCTTTATGAACGTATAATGAAGCATTGTTTGGGTCCATTTCCAACGCTTTCTTGTACAATTGCTCGGCCTCTTGAAACTCTTGTTTCTCAGTCTTTACCTAAACAAAAAATGGCGTCGAGTAGGTTGACTCTAAGTACATAACATCTGACAATGTCAGTCGCCTTTCCCAAATATTGGAAAGCATGATGGGTCACAGGCGGCAGAGCGCCAATGATGCAGGACACATACGAACAGTGGCACGCCGGCCCACGCCGTTAAAGTCAGCAACCGCAGGGACACTTGTCGAAAATACTTTTATATCATTTTAAGTTTTAAGGGCAAATGTATGGGACAATCTGATGTGTGAAATATGTATGATAGGTGCGTAGAACGGGGTTGTAAGTGTATTAATATACTAACATAAAAAAAATTACGATAAACCCTCCCACACCTCCCAATTTTTTAGCCCTAAGAAATTTTTAAAAAAATTAATAGGATCTGCTGAAACGCCAAAAAATGAACTTTCGAGTGATTTTTATTTTATTTGTTTTTGGTATTTTTCTAAGCCGCCGCTGGGGTCATTTTCAAAAACCATAATTTTTTTTGTCCTTGGCATAGTAGTAACCTTGTATGAAAATTTCATCAAAAGCCGACCGATAACTTCCAAGTTATAGACGGGCCAAAATTTAGCGGACACACAGACCAATATGGTTTTTCGTGATGTACATGTCATATACAGGGTGCGTCATCTATGACTTTTTTTTCTATTTGAATAATCAACACGCTTTTTACGAGGTGAAATCGAATTTTTTTATTGATAAATGAAGGTTGGTTTATGCCATTTATTTATGGTAAATAACATCAGTCATGTGACCACCGCGGCTTCGTTTACAGGCCAACATACGAACATCAAAATTTTCAATTACTTTTCCCAGAATAATCGGGTCTATGGACGCAATTTTAGTCCGAATATTGCGCTTTAGGTCTTGAATTGTCCGGGGACCATTCGCATACACTTTTCCTTTCAAAAATCCCCAAAGAAAATAGTCAAGAGGTGTTAAATCGAACGATCTCTGGGGCCAACTGACATCTGGATTTCGTGAAATTATGCGGTCTTGAAATTTCGTGTGCAATGAGGCTGTTTGGTGAGATCCAATACGATCCAACTGTGGCCACACAAAGTCTGTAAACATACCGCGATAACATTCCCCGTTGATGGAAATGACCTTCTCTTCGGCATCTTCAAAGAAGAATGGTCCAACAATGCCACCAGCCCATAATCCGCACCGAACAGTCATTTTTTCCAGGGTGGAGAGGTTGTTCATGATATTGGTGTGGATTTTCAGCCCCCCAGAATCTGCCATTTTGCTTATTTACGTACCCATTGAGGTGAAAATGAGCCTCATCAGAAAAGAGCACTTTGGCCGAAAATCCGTCTTCTCTTTCCAGCATCCAATTAACAAAAACACCCCGCTGTTGATGGTCTGCCGGCTTCAATTCTTGTGTTGGATTTTGTATGGATGGAGGTGTAAATCAATGTGTAAAATCCGGCGTAAAGTGGTCTCACTAATTTCCAATTGTTGCGAACGGTGCCTAGTCGAGGTGGTTGGATCTTCTCGCACACTTTCACTCACTGCGGCTGTTTTCACGAGTACGAGCTGGACGAGCATGTTGGTATGGTCTACAAACTTCAGTTGAACCAGATTCCTCAAAACGATTAACAATCCAACGAATTCCAGGCTCTGTAGGGCGTCCATGCCGGCCAAAACTAGTGCAAAGTTTGCGAAAAGTATTTTTTATATTTCGACCATTTTCGTAATAAGTTTGGATTACCAAAATGCGTTGTTGTGTTGTGAACGAATCCATGACTATAAATGGCATACCTTTGACAGTTCATTTATGCATACCACATGACTTTTGACTCACATGGTAACACATAAACTTATAGTTAAAAAAAAGTAATAGATGGCGCACCCAGTACATCCAAAAAACCTAATGTCTCATTTTCGATTTTTTTCGCGATTACAATACTTCCTCGCCAGTAGCTAGTAACTCTATTTCGTCTTTAGTTGTCTTTCGGTCACAGTTTCCGAAGCTGCACTAAAATGACAGGTGGTTTCAAGACGCCAAACAAATAATGAATTTTAAAAAATTGGCTTGTGTCAGTTAGAACCGTAATAGTCATATCTGCAACTTGACACTTGGAAAGTTTCTGAATTTTTTGCCCGTAGATCTTTTTACACTGCGTTGAGGTGAGATGAACGTGGAAAAATATTGAAACCCTGTGCTTAGGAATTTAGAAATTTTTTGTATATCGATCATAGCTTCACCGGTTTACAAAACTTACAAAGCATTAGTAGTAACCTTATATAAAGTCTCAGTAGTACGAGGTCTGTAAATTAAGTGATGAGACTGCTTGATTGACAGTCCACCGACGATCTGAACGCACAATATCAGGGATTCTATCGATATCTTCATCGGTTCTTGAAGATGAAGGCCTTCCGCTTCGTGGTTCATCTTCAATCGACTCTCGCACCTCTGACAATGCCTTAAACCACCGAAAAACATGGGCTCTTGGCAAAACACTATCTCTGTAGACCTGCTGAAGCTTAGCAAGAGTTTCGGTTGCACTGTGCCCAAATCTGAAGCAAAACCTGATAGCACACCACTGCTCGAAATTGATGTCACTTATTTTTTGAACACAATAGAAAAAACTGTTTCACAAAAAATCAACCAAATGACTCGATCGAGTTCAAACTTGTACTCAAGGCGAATCACATATTCCCGTGTCTCCCCTCTAAGCCCAGCGCCACCAGTGTTGCCAGATCGAGCGCTACGTTGCCAGTCTCATTTCTTAATTTACAGACATCGTATTTCCAGAACGTAGGGAGCTTAAAACAAATGACCATGCATCAAATTGTTTTTCCTATTCTTGCTAACATATTTGTTTTTTAGCTTGGTTGTCATCGTCACTGATCCTGTGCTTTAAACTTAGGCTATTCTGGAGTAATATTTTTTAGTCATTTATAAACTCTGGCTTAAAATTATTATTGATGTTGAACTTTTAGCGGAAAGTTGAGACCATGATGTAAGTAATTCAGAGTTCAAAGTATGTAGTTCAAAGCAATTTGAATAAAAGTTACAAAGGGTACTATAAAAGTTCTGCGATACAGCCTTATTTATTGACTCTGCTGCTGGCGGCTACTCGGCTACTATGTCCTCTGCGTCCGTTAGTTAAGTCATATTGCAAAACTTTTATAGTACATTTTGTGTTAACATTACTAACCTGTGCAAAGAGAATATACGTTTCTGGACAACTCGGGAATCGTTCGATGGAGTTCCTGAAGTCCTGCATTGCCTGCGCTAACAAAAAGGCATCTTGAGATTGCATCGCGTGCCTGTAGTCGGAGTAACATTTCTGTATGACAGAGAATGGAAAGTCTGGATTCAATTCCACAGCCTTTTTGAAGTCCTGACGAGCTTCGTCTGTCCTGTCCATGAGAAGTTTTACCTGACCGCGGTGGTGGTAGACATCTGAAAAGTTGGATAAGGTATGGTACTTTATCATGATGAAGGCAAATGAATTTAGATGAGGAACAAATAGAGAACAGGTCACTTTAATATAAATGTTTATAGAACGATTGATGTGTTATTGACTAATGATCGATTAAACAAACATTACAAATTGCATGGCTTCTTTGATTGATAATTCAGAATTGCAGAAGAAAAGAAAGATGTAAAATGTACACAAAAGAAAAATGCGAAGAAATGTGGAATTTTAGAAACAATATAATACTTTTAGGTGATTTTAATTTAAATTATTATGGTAAAAGCATGAAAACAAGGAAATTTAAAGAAACCATAAACAACTATGGGTTCAAGCAAAAAATTGAAGAGAGTACCAGAATAACATCATTATCAGAGACTTTGTTAGATCTTGTTATTGTAAATTTCGAATATGCAGGGATTAAAGCTGTACATACACCTAAAGTTAGCGATCACAGTTGGATAATGGTGCCCTTGGTCGGGCATTTTTCTGATACAAAAATTAAAAAAATCGTAAATACTATTAAGTACGAAAAACTTGAACGAGAACTTGCTGGCTGCTATTGGAATTTTGGTGAGAATATGGAAAAAATATATGACAACATAATAGGAAATATAAAAACTTGTTTAGATCTTGCAACTGATAAAAAAGTGATTTGCTCGACAAAAAATACACCCTGGTATAACAAGAATATTAAGGCAGCTCAAAATTTGAGAGACAAACAATACAATAAATGTATATTCACAAAATCAAATGATGATTGGGAGGTATATAAAACTCTTAGGAATAAATGTGTATATGTAATTAGAGAAGAAAAAAGGAAATTCTATAATATATATATATATATATATAAACAAATCGATAATAACAAGTGCGACACTGTAAAGATGTGGAAGACTTTAAAAAGACTGATTCATTCGAAGCCGCATGATTGTGTAAATCAACTTCAATTCGTAAACGGTACCGAAACAAATTCTTTGGTGATTGCAAACAAACTAAATGAATATTTTGTAGAAAGTATTGTTGATATTGTGGGTACTGCCAATGCTGCACCTGACTATATGAAAATCAGTTTCCAGGGGGAAATGTTGCATATACTTTCAAGATTTCACAGCGTATCATTGAATTATCTAAGAAAAAAAGTAAACAGTTTAAAATCAAATAACAACTGTGCCGAAATCACTACTAAAAACGTGCTGAAAAACTGTTTCGAAATTTTGGGATATCCTGTATTAAATTGGATCAATTGTTCACTGATAAGCAGTTCTTTTCCTGAAAATTTGAAATGCTCTACAATAACACCAGTTCCCAAAATAAAAAATTCTAAAAGATGCAGCGATATGAGACCAGTAAATGTGTTACCAGACATTGAAAAATTGTTAGAGTCCATAGTGCATGACCAATTAATGCAGTTTATAGAAGAAAACAAAATTTTAGTGGAGGCGCAAGCAGGCTTTCGAAAAAAATATTCCTCAGAAACAGCTTTCCAGTTGGTAACTGAGAATTGGAGAAGAGCCATAGACTCAGAAGAAGTTGTCATAGCAGTATTTTTGGATTTGAAGAGGGCATTTGAAACGATTGATAGAGATATTTTGTTAGGTAAATTGAAGGCATTTGGTATAACAGGAAGTGTTTTAGATTGGTTTAGAATTTATTTGTCTAAAATGATGCAAGTTACAAAAGTTAATGACACTATTTCATCAAAAATTGAAAATACGTTGGGTGTTCCACAGAGCAGTAAGTACTAAAAATATTCAGTCTGGTATCTCTTATATAAATGAAGACTTGAAGCTTGTCTCAAAATGGTTAGCATCTAACAGACTAAAATTAAATGCAAGTAAAACGAAAGCCTTGTTAATCGGAAAAAAACAATGTATAAATGTTCAACTGAATATTGATGGTGAAGATATTGAATTCGTAGAAAATTTTAAATACCTGGGGGTTTTTGTTGACTCTCGATTAATTTTTGATATTCATTATGAGAAAGTTATAAATAAGATTAGTAGTAAAGTGGGATATTTATCGAGAGTTTCTGGATGTCTGAGTTCATATAGCAGAAAAATTATCTATAATACCATGATTCTTCCAAATTTCTTGTACTGTTCGACTATTCTATATTTAGCAAATAATTCCATTTTTGAAAGACTGCAAATTTTACAAAATAAGTGCATGAGAATAATACTAAATAAAGATAAATATACTCCAATTAGGCAAATGCTTAGCAAATTAAAATGGCTCAATGTAAAAAATTTTATCAAATATCTTGTAATGATATTCATTTATGAAGTAAAAAATAATATACATATTTCCATCAAGTCTAACTAATTTAACATCATCAAATGTCGACCATCATTTACATAATACCAGAAATAAAGATAACTTCCATTTAATGACCAAAAAGTATAACATATGCTACAAATCTGTATTCCATCAAGGGTTGATTGAATATAATAAATTATACTCGGAGATAAAAGACCAGAAAACTTTGACAAAATTTAAAATTTAAAGTAAAATTGAGAAATCACTTGTTAAATCTACAATTATAGGTTGCCCAGCATTTACATCATACACCATATGGCTTGAATTTACTAGTTCTAAGTTGTTTACAATTATTCTGTTTATGTAGCCAAATGTGCTAAATAAATATTTCTACTACTAATACTAGTTTGGGAATGATATGGAACTCTTTTGTTTTTTGCTCATGAGGTCGCCGCCACTGCACCGATTTTCGAATATGAAATGATTATTACCTACTATGACACTACAGCGTAAGTTTATCAAAATCGGTACAGTCGTTTCCGAGATAAGGAGGTTATAAGAAGATCAAGACGCAGACTGACAAACAGACCGACGGAAGTGAGCAACATAGATTTTCGTGATGCTGTTATGCAAAATATAAATTTGAAAATGTTCGCCATCACTTGTCTAGATAGATAGATAAATAACCTTTATTGTCTAAATAATACGACCAATCTTAATGACACAGTCAACTTATAACTGAACTATAGCACTTTTTATGAGAAAAAAAACGGAAAGACTCGATTTCCTATCAACTGCCATCCATATCTTATTATCCTCCTTGTTTGTCTGGCCTCTAAATAAAATCACGTATGCTTGAAATGCTATTTCGGCCTTCACGGTGTATGCACGTGAATATCTTAGTTTTTTTAAGTTACGCGGAGTTAGAAGTTAAGCGACATATGTGGATCATAATTAAATGAATTGTAGAACTCACACATGGTATGTTATGGTTTACATATTCGAAAGTTTTCAAGTTCACGGCGGAATATCTTTAAACTGTTAATTCTTTTGATAGCACATGTAGATTTTCAGACCATTATACATTATTGACTCTTTCAGAAATGTTGATTTAGGTATTACTAATTTAATATCTTGTTTTCGTCTACTATCGTAACTATTTGATGTGTTCATTTCAAAAATAAGAGTTGCTGATTCTGAAATGAACAATGATACGCCATTTATTATTTTGAGATTTAGAAATAAAGGCCTGCATGTAGCTCTGGGATTGCTTGTAGTTATACAGGGTGACTTTGAAGTTGAGTCATTAATTTTCAGATAATGATTGTAGAAGGAAGATAAACCAAAATATGTGTGCAAAAATAAAAAAAAAATTGAAAAAAAAATTTCACCTTGTTTTATAAAGTATCCTCCCGACAAGTATTTCAGTGCGGACCTGTATTTGATCGTGAGGTCCCCTGTGAGGTCTTAAGTCACCTGATTCACGAGCCCGTTGTACTACATTAACAAAGGCACGAGGGGTTGGTTGCACTCGATTGGGAAACCGATCCGCATAAACATGTGCCATTTTTTATTTCGTTTGAGCCACGCAACAGACACTATTCACACGCGACTGACACTAACTGTATGTATAACTGAACTGAATAAAATAAACATCGTTCCAAATTCTTTCGCTTTTTTGTTTCCGATGCGATGAACCGATAAGGTGGATTATATCCGTTGTTGCCAAACACGAGTACATGATATTATTGATACAGGGCGGTATTCAAACTTCCAAAGGGCTATAACTTTGTTACTTTAATTTTACCAGAAAAATGGTAAAGGAAAAAAACATTTCTTTTGATCAGATCTACTCACTGTTAAAATAAATGACTCAACTTCGAAGTCACCCTGTATATCTAATAGTTCGTTTTTGTAGAATAAGTACTTTTTTACACAATTTTGGGATAACTAATAATTAGAACAATAACATTTTTTGCTTGATCGAATTTTTGTCTTAATTGTGGCGTCGTCAGCAAAAACAATGATTTTACATTTCTGTTTGAATTTATTAAATCACTGATATAGACTAAAAATAGGATCGGACCTAGTACTGATCCTTGAGGTACCCCTGCGTCTATATTTAATTTATTTGAGATACAACTCTTGATACTTTTACAATTCGGGATCGATTATTTAAATATATTTTGAACCAACTGAGTGAAGTTCCAGGACAACCAAATATGTCGTAATTTTTTCAATGTTATGATATGATTTACACAGTCATAAGTTTTGGCAAAGTTGCAAAAACAGCAATTGAAATTTGTTTATCGTTTAAATTTGAGTATAACTGTTATAGTTTTATTCTTTTTGAAATCCACATTGGTTGTAGAAATCAAACGAGCCTTGCCAAATTACTGAATAACATTTTGACATTAAAAACGCAAAAAGAGAGAAAATACTTTCATATTTTTAACCACTTTAAATTTTTTGAAGTCGTCCAGAATTTTCGAAAATGTTTTTTCCCTCTAATAACTCTGCCGCCACTGGCGCGATTTTCAAAAAATGAAAACTCCAAGATTCAAACTACATCAAAATCTGTGCAGAAGTTTCTCAAATTGCGAGAGTACAAAAACGCCGACAGGAAGACAGACTGACGGAAATGAGTAATATGGATTTCAGTGAAGTAGCCTACATCGTAGGTGGTAGACGGTCTCTGAGGTACCACCCGGCGGATTTCGTAGGCGGGGCCAGAATGTGGTCATGTTGCATGCAAACGTCTTCCCTCGCCAGAGTGCGTGTGGCGTCCCACCTTTCCCCTGTATCCCCAAAGTACCCCATGGGCGTTTAGGCCTTAGGTCTTCGTGGTAGTTGGAGTATAAAAAATAAATGAAAAAACAAAAAACAATGAAATCTTTCATGATCACAATACTTATCCGTTCCGATGTGGGAAGTGACATGTAAATAATTTACCAATTATTGGTCTAAATTCACTGAACGATTTCTAATCTTATCTTATCGGAAACAGTTTGTGTCCATGCATAAATACAAATATATCTAAGATTAGAGAAATATTACATAAATAGTAGTAGTAGAAAGATTTAGTTAGCACATTTGGCTACATAAACAGAATAATTGTAAACAACTAGTAAATTCAAGCCATATGGTGTATGATGTAAATGCTGGGCAACCTATAATTGTAGATTTAACAAGTGATTTCTCAATTTTACTTTAAATTTTGTCAAAGTTTTCTGGTCTTTTATCTCCGAGTATAATTTATTATATTCAATCAACCCTTGATGGAATACAGATTTGTAGCATATGTTATACTTTTTGGTCATTAAATGGAAGTCATCTTTATTTCTGGTATTATGTAAATGATGGTCGACATTTGATGATGTTAAATTAGTTAGACTTGATGGAAATATATTATTTTTCACTTTATAAATGAATAGCATTACAAGATTTTTTACATTGAGCCATTTTAATTTGCTAAGCATTTGCCTAATTGGAGTATATTTATCTTTATTTAGTATTATTCTCATGCACTTATTTTGTAAAATTTGCAGTCTTTCAAAAATGGAATTATTTGCTAAATATAGAATAGTCGAACAGTACAAGAAATTTGGAAGAATGATGGTATTATAGATAATTTTTCTGCTATATGAACTCAGACATCCAGAAACTCTCGATAAATATCCCACTTTACTACTAATCTTATTTATAACTTTTTCATAATGAATATCAAAAATTAATCCAGAGTCAACAAAAACCCCCAGGTATTTAAAATTTTCTACGAATTCAATATCTTCACCATCAATATGCAGTTGAACATTTGTACATTGTTTTTTTCCGATTAAAAAGGCTTTCGTTTTACTTGCATTTAATTTTAGTCTGTTAGATGCTAACCATTTTGAGACAAGTTTCAAGTCTTCATTTATATAAGAGATACCAGATTTTTAGTACTTATATAAATCATAGTGTCATCGGCGAACATCGGAATTTTGCATTTTTTTACTATGGCAGGTAAATCATTTATGTATAAAATAATAATATAAAATAGTAGTTAGTAGTCTTTCCAGAGATGCTCATTTAGATTAATTTATATGATATTGTTTAGCTATTTTAGAAAGGCCAGTCATGCTTGCTTGTAATCAATACCCAATATTTGGTTATGCTTGATAAAAGTAAGACAAGACAAATATTTATCAATCCTAACAATTCCTAAACAGATAATATTTATATGCTCTAGAGCAAGAAACTCTAATGACAAGTTTAGAACAAATATAGAAACCAAATTTTGTTAATCTCCTTGAGCATCTCATATTTAAGTCGTTTAAAGGGATAATTCTCATATAGTCAACGCCAAACAAAGTGGCGTGCACGTCATCACGATAAAAATTCCCCGACCTAATGCCTAGGTTTCTATCACAAACAATTGCTCTGTTGCAGTTTCATATTAATGTGATATATAAATTGTAAAATGGTCATTACTCTCTTATTATGGTTAATAGTCATATAAACATTGTTATTAAAATATCACATAAGTTGCTTTTTGATAAATTTAGACGCATTATGCGAAATAAAATGTTTTGCAAACGCTCCAATCACTTATCGACATGTAAACGCACTAAACCGATTTCGCAGCGTTGACACATTGTCACCTTGAAACTTACTTAAACTGGGAACTGACATTTGTATTAATTTTGACACTGAATCAATTTGTGGCATTTCAAATCTTTATAAATCCTTTGGCCCCGCATACTGTAAATCAACAACTGTTTGTTTCAAAACAAAATTATTCATTTTACGAGTAGATAAAGGCAATTTTGGTATATAAAGATGCCCAAACAGTTAAATAGTCGGTGTAAGGAACTCGTGGCCTCGTTAATGCGCTACTTTGAGCAAGAAAGGGACAACAACGGGCCTTTGTTGCCTTTAAATGCTGTTCAAGAGGTGGGTTACTAATAATTATATGTAATGTATATTAATAATAGTGAAATTTTATTTCATTTTTTGTAGCGTGTTGCTGCTGCTTTAAAAATTAGTTTAAGGACAGTTAGTCGTATTTCCGAGGGTGTGAAAAGTGATGCAAATTTAGAATCGCCCAAGAAAAAGCGGAGTTATATTAAACGTGTAACCAACACAGCGACATTGGATACAAGTGCCATTCGAGAAGTGATCTATAATATGTATCACAAAAGTAAGATCTTATTATAATAACTTATCAAAAATTTGCATTAATTTGTTAACTAAATTATAATGTCATATTACACATGGTTTCAGAAGAACAAGTTACGATACAAACTTTATGGTCTCGATTAAGAGATAGGGCATTATTTGATGGTAGTGCCACGTCTTTAAGGCGGTTGCTTAGAGATCTTGGATTTAAGTGGCTTAAGGACAATTCGGGACGAGGGCTCATGGAACTACCAAGTATAGCTTTGAAAAGGGTGGAATTTCTAAGGCAATACAATCAAGCCAAGGTTGAGGCCTTATACCAGTTTGTCTTCCTCGATGAAACTTGGATATTTCAAAATGGGACCATAGGTCGCTCTTGGCAAAATGGAAACCAAAAAAGCGTGAAAGCTATTAAAACAGATGGTAAAAGGTATGTACTTTTACACAATTTGCACTATAACATTTAAAACTAATATATTTTAGATACATTATATTACATGCTGGAAATGAAAATGGGTTTATTGAGGGTAGTGAAGCGATATTTTCTTCGAAAACAAAATTGAGCGATTACCATGGAGAGATGAAGCAGGACAATTTTTTGAAATGGTTTCAACATCAGTTATTAGAAAAATTGGAGAGTCCATCTATGATTATACTGGATAACGCCCCTTATCACAGCATGATATTGAACAAAGTGCCCAACAATGCATGGACAAAAAAAAATATCCAAGACTGGTTGACAAATCAAAACATACCATTTTTAAACACAATGTTTAAAACAGAGCTATTGAGTATTGTTGCTCGGTACATAATGCTTCTTAATTATATATATTTTGGTCGACAGTTTATATTTCTTTTGTTTATTCCTATTCTTAAAATAACTGCTTTTTTTAGAAACAAACAACCTAAAATATACGTGATTGATGAATTGGCGGAACAACATGGGCACAAAGTTCTTCGTCTGCCTCCTTACCATTGTATATTTAACCCTATTGAGTTAATTTGGGGCATAGCAAAAGGTTACTATAACAGACATATTGGTAGAGATGGTAACAGTGAAAAAGACTGTTTGGATATGTAGAACGAGGCTCTACGAACGGTTACCCCAGACATGTGGAAAAATAGTGTTCGACATACTGAGCAAGACATTTTTAAATGGTATGAAAGAGAACGAATTTTTGATCGACCAGACATCGAACCTTTATTAATCAACTTTGAGAGTGATGAAGATTCAGATTCAGACAGCGCTGAAGAAAGAAACTCCGACTAACTTTATTGTACAGAAAAAGCTTACACCAGTAGCTTACCTAATTTTAGAATGCATTTTTCTGTATGAATTCTGTAAAATAAATACCATGCATAAAATTTGGAGGACCCCATTTGGATTTTTATTCAGTACCTTTAAGCTATCAATTAAATATGGTAGTTTCATAGTGTCATCTGATCAATAATTGTCATACTTAATGATTATGCAAGTACAGATCTATAATTTTATTATACTATTATTTTTGTTCTCATTTGAGGTTAATATTGCTTATAAACCTAGATATGTAAATAATAAATTTTATTATTTTACAAAAAGTTTGGCAACAATGTAAATTTTTCAACACACCCACCTTGATGACGTGCACGCCACTTTGTTTGGCGTTGACTATAAACTGTAGTGTTACCTGATATTTCTGGTCCCAGCTCAACCGCTCTGTCAAAATCATCAAGACACTCCTGAAGCTTCTCTGTTTGCATATATATGGTTGACCTCTTTATAAGAGCATTGACTTTAAATAGCTCGTCAGCATCCTTGTCTTCAATAATAGTGGTCAAATCAACAACAGACTCTTTGAACTGAGCCGTCAAAAAGTAAAAAGATGCTCTCAATAATAAGGCTTCAAGTTTGTATGTAGACTCTGATTCGCTTAAGTTCAGTTCCTCTGTACATGCTGGAATGATCTCTTCATATTTTTCAGTGGCAAAGGCCAGTTTGGCCTTGAGGAACCCTGCAAAAATCAAGTAAGAGATAAGTTGAGCAAAAGCATTTCATTGCAATATGATTGTACTAATAACCAACTTTAGAACAGACTGGATGTTATGCAGTACCCTGTAAAAAATCATTACAGAATGTTATTACATAAATCGACTCTGGGTTATACAAGGTCTGTCCGAAAGAAAAAATTAAAAAACATTCTTTTTTTCGGAAAATCGAATTTATTTTATTCAAAATAGTCTTCATCAGAGTTAATACAGCAATTTGCACGGACCAAAAGATTTTCAAATGATTATTTCAAAATGGTCGTCGACGCCTTTTGGATGGCCTCTACATCAGCATACCTCTGTCCCTTCATGGCCAAATGTAGTTTACTGAACAGAAAATAATCACCTAAAATATCTCCATCTAGTTTTCGAACACCCTGTATGTGGCAGCTCTCTGTCCCAGTGAGGGAGGATTCATAAACGGGTAGTTATTGAAATGGTTATACAGTTAGGATTTTTTTTATTTATCTGTCAATGTCTATCAATCCCTGAACTATCATTTGCCAAATTTGAACCTAGGTGTTCAGAAATATGTGAACATGTTCAGGGCTTGATGTAAAACTGAAATAAACAATATGATAAATTTTCAAAAACACTCCTACAAGCCGTTCAGCCTTCCATAAATTGTTTTTTTTAATAGAAAATACCTTAGTTCAAATGCATTTCTCAACCAAAGGGCTAATAAGGATTTGACAGAGACATGTCACAATATTTTTCATTTTCTGAATTAATGAGATGGTCCAGATATTCTGACACTTAATACTCAACTTCTTAGCAGTATATTATACCTTTCAAGTCTCCTAGACCAAGAGGTTCAGTAGCTTCCATCAGTTTCTTATAAACAGGATCAGCCGAGAATGATGCAAAATAGGTTTTTATGAAGATCTTTGATGGCATTATGGGCTTCTTGTTCTTCATTGCCTCAGCAGAATTTTTCTTGCCAAGTTCCTTTAATACTCTATCTGCCATCATCAAAGCACTCTGGTTGCCAAAGTTTTGCAGGAGACACACTGAGGTGATATCATCCAAAGCATTCTCCCAATCCTTTGTCATTTCTTCTGCTTTAGCTCGACGATATAGTGCTTTCTCATATCTAATGAAAAATAAACATTTCTTTAAATTATTATACAATCCCTTATGGATTCCATACCCACATCTATTCCTATTCATTCGTTTATCACAATTTGGGGTATTCACAGCCAAAGCCAACACACACCCACTATATTTCAATAAAATAACTATTGAAATCTTAGTTTTTTTCTTATCAAACACAAATAATAAAAATGTAGCAGGGTGTTATAGGTTTAAAATATTAACAATGAATATTTTGATAATATATAGTAGAAAACACCAACTTTATCACTGCCTAATCAAATTTCCAGCATAAAAATAACACATGTTGCAATTACAGCATATCAACCTATTTTCATTTCAATGCAAAATAAGTCCATAACACATAGGTGGCTGTAAGAAATAAAAGCCATGACAATTGTTTTTATAAATCACAGCTGTCAGAATATGTTTAAAATAGTTTTGGGTTCTTAAGGTTTTCAAAATGGGTAGAGAAAAGGTTATTAGTGAGAAAACTCGGTTACTGATAATAAATTTTTTTAATTCTGGGAAATCAAACTCAGAAATTGCAACTTTTATTAGAATTATCGCGGTACAGTGTGAGAAATATTGTTAGGAGATATAACGTAACTGGTTCAGTTAATATTAAGCCATAATATGTGAAAAAAAGTAATATCACAAATGCCGACCAAAGAGCATTAAGAAGAATAATCATGAAAAACAGGCGTGCCAATTATTTACAATTAAGTGCTCCGTGGAGTGACGCTGTTGGAAGGAGAATTTCGAGGTCCACAACTCATAGAGAGACCCACAAACTAGGATTTAGCACTTGCAAGGTAAGTTTTCTTATAAAAAAAAGTGAAGTAAAAACCCTAAAGTTGCACAACTTGTTTATATTATAGGCCAAAGAAAAGCCACTATTAACTCCACTGCAAAAGAAAAATCGGCTGAGATGGGCTAAAGAACATAGACATGGACACCTCAACAATGGTGTGCAATACAATGGAGTGATGAGGCCCGATTCAAAGTTTGTGTTGGTGACAGTCACAGTAGAGTTATTCGCAAAAAAAAATGAAGCATTCCATGTTGACTGTCTGAATAGAAAAGTGAAAGTTCCAGCATCCATTATGGTCTGGGTCAGTATCTCATCAAAAGGAGTAGAAAAACTTTATTTTATTGATGGAAATGTGGATACAAACAAATATTTGGCAATTTTAGAAGAATCGCTTTTACCAGTGATGGAAGAATGTTTAACATCCGGCCAAGATATTGTGTTTCAGCAAGATGGTGCAGAATGCCACACTTTAAAAAGGGCTATAAAATGGATGGAAGAAAATAATGTACCACTTTTCTAGCAGTCTAGATCTGTCACCTATTGAAACTTTGTGGTTGAGATGAAAAAGGTTCTACAACAACATCCTGCTCATACAATCACCGAACTGAGACAAAAGCTTCAAGAAATATGGGATTGTTTTACACCAAATTTTTGCCAAAATGTGGTTAACACTATGCCCCAAAGAATTTCAGCCCTAATAAAAAATAAAGGTGATGTTACCCAATGGTAATCTTTCAATTGTTGCCTTGTTAACTTCGTGCATTTATTCGCACATTGTTTATTTGTTCAGATGTTCTAATAGTTATAGGTCTCAGTTACTTCAAATATGTATTTTTAATGACTAGAGTGTATCTAAAATGTTTTTGAGAAAAGTGGGCCAACTGAAGTGGGAAGGGGCTCGTATATTGACTATGAAAAATCACTAATATGATGTGATTATTGATTTAAAAACTTGGATTGTAGGATCTTTGTGCTCTTACTAATGGATAATTCATATCTAAGTTAGTACAACAGTATGGTAACTTAAACACGTTATAATGATGATAATTTCTATCTGGCACATTAAACTGAACTAGGGAAAGCAGATTATTACACTCATAAAGGTTATTAGCTAATTTGTATAGATAACAAATATCAGAAATTATTCTTCTATTAAACAGTGATAACATATTAAATTTTTTCATGATTGGACCATCGGTGATAGGAGTGCCACATTTGCAGGCAAATGTATGTAAGAGCTTATGTTGGATTCTTTCAATTCCATCAATATGAATGATCGGTGTAGAAAGGATTCCATATAACAGAAGCAAAAGAAAGTGAAACATACATTTGTAGATACATAAAAACTCATAGAGCAGTATTTCTAAAACTCATGTGTAATGTACTGATAAAATAGAACGGCTACATTTTTCTTATCTGTGGTACACATAATCACTGACACAAATATACACCCCTGCGTTGCACAACATATTTTTATCAACTTCCACATTAATAAAAATGGTAATGCTTCGGAAATTCGGCGCCAATTACCCTCGCAGTTTAGAAAAAGTACCCTTTGATCAGGCATGACGGGAGATGGATCCATTTTTTGTTTAGAAGCAGAATTTTACAATGCTCAAAATATAAGCTAAAATGTATCTTAGAAACTAGACAAATGCTGAAGAGCTTTACCTGTTATTCAACTCAATTGCCTTTGAACAATCAGCAATAACAGAGCTCCACTTCTTCAGTTGTTCATATGCAGCTGCCCTATTTTGATAGTATGTAGCCAAATCAGCCTTATATTCTTCTGGTATAGTCTCAATAGCCTTATTGTACATTTGAATAGCCTCATCATACTTGCCCCTCTTGAACAATTCGTTACCCTCGCTCTTGTAGCGCTGGGCTAGCTGGAATGGCGTCTCCTCCTTCTGGACCTCTTTGCTGTTCTCTAGCTTCTGAAGCGTCTGCTCCTTGCTGGTCTTTAGGTACCAGTAGGCTAGCCCAACCGCACCTACGGCCCCTAGACCGAGGGCTATTTGCCATTTCAGTGTGGTCGATGACATATCCGAGTTCTTGCAGTACGGCACATGAACTGGAAATGTGGTGTTCGCACGATAGGCCCCCTTGGATGATGGAAAATGATAAATGATAACGTAAATGGATGAGGTTATGTTGTCCGGTTTTGACTTTGACATGGAACGCAAGGTTAGAAGTGCGTCGATGAGAGAGCGCGTGATTGTATAGTTGGGAAATTCGAAGAGAGAGTCAAGTAGATTGACTCAGCACTTTCAAGATTGTCACTTATTGGCCAATCGCCCTTAAATTTTTTAATTGCTTAAAAAACTTGGCGGATAATTACAAAATTATGTTTGTCAAGACAAATCTAGAGACACCTCATATCAAAATTCATCAAGCCGTTTAAGCTGTGGCCCATGAAATTTCGCCCTTGGTCTTCTGTTGATCAGTTCACCACGCCTGCGAAGTGATTCAACCCAATGAAGGATGGTGTTTCGAGAGGGAACAGCTCTATTCCGATGAATGTTGAAGTGGCGACGCTGTACGACGATGACTGACTCACTATTTCGGACGAAACGATCATAGGCGAAAACGCAGTGCTCCACCGTCCAAGGCTCCATAACGGCAACTGGTAAAATAATGCAAGGATCTCACGAGTCAAACGCCACCCTCCCCACCTCTCTCGTAGACGGAGGCGTAGAGTACTACCCATCCCAAAAACGTCCGTCCTCTCTGCCGCACCCTGTACTTATCTTAAACGTATGCAGTGAAAATCCTTCACATACAAATGATGGTTGAGCGTCACTATTCTTTAACAAAAGTCAAAAATAAGATTTGTTAATGAATCAACATTGTTGGGATCTAGAATAATGTTTTTAAATATACGCTCTGACAAAAGATCACCAGAAACGCAAAATTTTCAAATTTCTAACCTCACCAAAGAGAAAGATATTGTATGCATCCAATTTTCAGAAGCTTTGGGACCTTTCGAAGCAGTTTTAAATTCTATTGTGATTCAAGTGTGTTTTTTAACGCAACACATATTTTGATAAAAATATTTGAACAATAATACGGCAAAATTACTGCAAATCGGCACGGGTATCACGTACATTGAAAAGTGGCATTATGCCTATTCTTTTTGGCATTATGCTATTTTTTTTGACATTATGTAGGTTTTTCTACAAGAAATTAACTTAGCACTTAGTTGTACGGGTTGCCTAAACGTCATGAGGTTTTTTATAAATCTTTGGCTCTGATGTAATGTAAACTGCTTCTGAGATGGTCTTAGGATTACTAGAGGTCTAAGCTGTAGGTTGTGTGTGTTGATGATAATTACATTGGGTTCTTGTCTCAAGTACACTTAATTGATTTAAAGCTAGAAATTAGTTGCGCATCCACTTTTTCTTATCCATTCTGGAAATTACATACAAATTTGCTGAATTGAAAAATGAGAGAAATAAAAGATAATTATATTCACTGTACACTGTCGAATTACAAGCCATATATATGCTAACAGTAATTACACACAACGCAGGCGCGGTGATCATTTCCCGTAATTCTCCTCAGTTTTTTTGTAATTTATAACTTTGAACATAACCTCTCTCCAGAAAGCACAACATAAAAATAACCCGTCAGGCACAGCCAATAGATATACTTCATTGTCAGCATATTCAGTAACGATTTTCTCGCACAGCAAATATCACTGATTTTAAACACATGCAGACCAATACACATAATCATCCAGATGCGATCTTGCTATTCAACCAACTTTCTTCTCAGAGATAAAAACTACAGACAAGTACCATTTGGCCTCACTAAACTATGCAACCAATAATGCGTGTAGCTTAGTTGAGTGATTCCTCCATAGATGGACGTTCACAACGATCCTAGTGAGCAAATGTGGAATGACTGCTTGCGCCCTAAAAAACTACCTAGTCTGCAAGATGACATCTTATAGGTTTTGTAGGTTTTTTACATGATACCCTTGCGGTACTGGAGTGAAAAATGCCTTGTGCTATTCATAATCTCTCGAAATTGTTTTGACCATATGCCAAACAATATCTACTACAGAGGAAATGAGCTTTCCGAGATTAAGAGGCAGAAAAATCTCAAAATATGCAAGTCGCCTTCAGCTGCGGATAACTAAATAAATAACTTTTCCTTAAAAGAAAACAGTATCAAGTAGATTGGCACACAAGTGTTATTTAAGTATGTATTGTATTTTATATTGTCAAAAATAAGCTTTGCTAAAGGTCAAAACTGTTGAGCTTCGTAACAACTTTTTCCATTATGTTTGAACCTGAAGTGACCAGAAACAACAAAAGCAAAATTTCAAAATCTTAAAAAAAATTCTGAAATTTTCAATTGATTACGCACAAGGTTGTTAAGAAGGTTGTAAGGCATACAAAAAGTTTGGGAACGCTCTGAAGCTGTTTTCTTTTTGTTAATAATACCGCTGCCACTTCAACGGTGCAACAGTTTTCAAGATTACGGGTTTCAAATGATGCCAAGACACAGGGACCGATCGATAGATAGATCGATAAAGGCGATATGTGTCAGAAAGTGAACGACATGAAAAACGTACATTTGTTAATTGCTCAACTTGTGGAAAATTAATTATATAATGCAAACGTGTTAGTATCTTTTTTGAAAAACCTCTCCTTCGAATTTGACCGTCTATTTGGGATTCGTCAGAAATGTTTATATGGGCACTCAGAAAAAACTACGCCACTGGTAAAAAAGCAATATTTCAATATTGGTGAAAGTGCATACATATCGCACCGACCCGAAGAAATGGTGAATGCGAGCACTCTGGGAGAATGCGATGAAGTATGAAACGGTGGCTCTTAAAAGTTACACGAACTGTAATGTAATAATAGTTTATATATAATTGTAAACTTATTTCATAAAGTATAAACCTGTGATTCTGTATCCGCATGTACCTAGCTTATTGAACTTGCTTGCCTAGCAATCCACAACGATCCAATATTCCTAAGAATGAAAAATAGGTATATTATAAAATGAATCAAATCCATGAAACATTTCGCTGTCTCTAGTTTGTCGGTGCTTTTCAGTACCTACAGAGGAAGTAAAGAAAACACGTTACAAATTCAATACATGTACTCGAGGAACTAAATCCTATAGTACTGTTATTAGAGTAAGATCTCAGGGCTGATTACTTATTTCTGAAAGCCAATAGGCAAAACGTGGGACACTGAATAGTATGGATATGTAGTTTCAATGCATGCATAGCTGGTATGTTGGATAGAGGGTATTAGATGCGAAAGGTTAAGTAAGTTGAAAACCTCCGTGTATACTTCGTAAAGCATAATTACAAAGTAATATTTATCACTGTCAGACATTGTGTGACGATTTACACAAAAAAGGGTCAAACATATAAGAACTATAGTATAAGTATAAGTAGTATAACTTTGTGAATTTTCAATGCATTTTTTTCAATCCTAACTTGTTACCAAATAATAGTTCAGCTCTAAAATTGTATGTGAACTCCACATTTACGGAGCGAGTGATTATCTTTTTCTTATCGCTTTCTCTCTTCAAAAAATCTTTGCCTTCCTCAAAAATTTAATTTGCTGCAAAATCTCCATTTTTCTCAATTTGCCTACGTGATATTTCGGAGTTCTTAGTAACCGTTTGTAAAACACTGTTCTGAGTTCCCTCTAAAGTTTCCTTTTTTCTTCTTAATAACTTTTTAACCTAAGCTGTATCTCTCACAGGTATTGAGACCCTATGCATATGATCCGTATCCTGGACACTCTGTATATATGTATGTAAAGCGATAAACGGTCTATCTCTGAATACAAATAATGCCTGACAGTCCTGGGATCTTGGACTAAATCGTAATAACAGTGCGAATCTGTTGGACGGTTTCTAAAATGGTGAATTCCAAGTGACTCATCATTAGCACAATAGTGATGAATCCTTGAAATAAATCAGCGTATTATTCTACTCCAACAAAACCATAATCAATAGATGTATTCGCCTTTACCATCTGAATAGCAATTTGTGAAGTGTAGAAAAAGTACTTTGTAATTAGTTACACATCTAATTAGAGCTTTATTTGTGTCATGTATTAATTATTCATCATTGTGTATAAGCTAAAAGAGGCGGAGCTTGCTGTTTCTTGAAAAATAAAACCTTAAAGTTTACTGGGTGTATCTGCGAAAAAAAGCAAATGTTTTTTTTAAAGAATATAAGTACAACGCAAAAAGAGACATATTCTCAGATTGACGAGTGGAGTGACAGAAACATCTACAGCAGATAAACAGACCGTCATAGATTAAGATTAAGAACCTTTATGAGGGTTTGCAGAATTTTTCAGTTATTCAGACTTCCTTTTGTGCGAATTTTAAGGACCGTAAGGATTTTTTTAATCTTACTGAAAAAGCGCGCACTGAGGATGCGGTCGATAGTTAATACGATCCCCTTCCCACTTCAGTTGGCCCACTTCAAGATTTGTACCAAAATATGCCTTTATAAACTAAACATGACGAAACTATTTACTTCTAAAACAATTTATTTTCTCAAAAGCATTTTATATACACTCTATTCGTAAAAAATACATATTAATAGAACATCAGAACAAATAAACAATGTACGAATAAATGCGCGAAGTTAACAAAGCAACAATTGAAAGTTTATTTTTTTTACGGCTGAAATTCTTTGGGGCATAGTGTTAACCAAGTTTTGGCAAGAATTTGGTGTACAACAATCTCATATTTCTTGAAGTTTTTGTCTCAGTTCGGTGATTGTACGAGCAGGATGTTGTCGTAGAACCTTTTTCATCTCGTGCCACAAAGTTTCAATAGGTGACAGATCTGGACTGCTAGAAACCCATTTCAAAAGTAGTACATTATTTTATTCCATCCATTTTATAGCCTTTTTTGAGGTATGGTACGCTACACCATTTTGCTCAAATACAAAATCTTGGCCGGATACCAAACATTCTTTCATCACTGGTAAAAGCGATTCTTCTAAAAGTGCCAAATATTTGTTTGTAACCACATTTCCATCAATAAAATGAAGTTTTCCTACTCCTTTTGATGACATCCTGCCCCAGACCATAACGGATGCTGGAAATTTCACTTTTCTCTTCAGACAGTCAATATGGAATGCTTTTTTTTTCGAATAACTCTACTGCGACTGCCACCAAGAAAAACTTCGAGTCGGGCCTCATCACTCCA